TCTATAGTTTGTGGCTATTGTGTCACAGTTGCAAGACCATGTCCCTTGTCAAAATGTACCCCTAACAGAGACTCACTGCTGTAAGAGCAGATTGTCATTCATGAATCTATAGTTTGTGGCTACGATGTCACAGTTCCAAGGCCATGTTGCTTGTCAAAATTTACCCCTAACAGGGACTCATCAATGCAGTAATCTTGTTGATTTGCATCACTACAATTTGACCCAAAATATCCCCATTATTTCCAATCTTTTCCATGATCTCCAGAAGGTTTGATAAGGGCATTCCACCTGTACCTATTAGATTACTAATCTGTTGTTRACTTTTATTTAGCCTGGCTCACCTGTGATGAGAGTACTACAGATCTCTGACATACATTATGATGCTCTATACAAAGAAGGGGCTGCAACAAAATGTGGGGAACCTCTATGCTGCCGAAAGAATGACCCCACCCCAGGTACTGTACAGGAGCTCAAACTTGTGAATACTTTGGCCAAAAARTTTTGAATATTTAATCTGTGAGCAAGCCATATGCACTGACTTTGATCAGCAGTTGTTKTAGGTTTGATAAAATTGGAATGTGAAGTTGATAAAAAATGTCTTTGTTTTTGGTGAGGGTACATGTAGCACTTAATAGTCAATGTCTCTCATATAATGTGGCCCTCTTTCCATGAATTAATTGGAATTTAGAAGTTGATTTTTGTGGAGCCAGGAAAGCTGGAAAACCAGTAGAAAAGCCCTTAAAGCAACGGAGAGAATAAACTTTTTAAAATCTTTACTKTCTGACATACGATATCGAGTCCAGGAATCCAAACTGGGTTACCTTGGTGAGAGGCGAGTGTTCTCACTGCTACACCACCGATGCTTGAGTAATTCATTATTTTGATTTTTCATAATAATATTTGTGTTTCAGCTCCAGGAAAGCCAACTGCAGGGAAATATGGAGATTATAACTGTGATACCCCACTCATCACCCTTGAAAACATGTTGGAACACATCAACAATACTCRCAAGGTATTGACTGCCCCTTTTCTCATTCGGTAAATAATATACCCTACCGCTGTGTTTTATGACTAAAGTCTCATCTGCACAGGCTTAGCCTTGCTTAATAGCAAATAATTTGCAAAAGTCAATACTGTAATGTTAAGAGCAATGTGCAGCTTGAACAATACCAGTGTCTTGAAATCCCACACACATTAATGGTATCTATGTCTGATCATAATTGAGCTGACTTATAAACAAGCCTTTGCAAATGACTCTATGTTCTTCATGTAAGCAGCAGTAATCATCAAATACAAAACTGGATAATTGGCTTAGTCATTGTCAAAAATAGGCCTTTTCCTAAATGTAATTTTGGTTCAATGTTAATTTTTGTACTTTTTGTATGTAAATAGATTGACTATGTTATGTGGACTGGGGATATACCAGCTCATAATGTTTGGAACCAAAGCAGATCTGACCAGGTTTGTTAATTTTTTATTGTTATTGCTAAAACGAGTTGGGATTAAGTCAAGCATCTTTGACATGGTATCAGACACCTATGGAGTGGCTATTCATGCTTAGAAAATATAGTAACTGTTGTGGTAATGAGACCTTGGGTAGAAGATGTACTGTATGATAAGGAATTCCTGCAGCTGACAAGCCCTTACAGGTGGGTTATCTAAGACAAAGGGAAATTGCCCTATTTCACTATGACGTCACATCAAAACAATCTATTGTTTAAACACAAAGTATCATGGTTGTCGGAGGGGGTCTGAAATCAAYGCAAATTCACCGAAAATTGTCCTAAAACCCGTATCAGTCCACGAAGAGAATAGCCAGCAATATTTYTTAGTACATATTAACACATAATATATCTGAAAACCAGGCCATTTTAGATTAAACTGTTTTGCTAGGAGCAAATTTTGTTGAATTTTCTATTGGATTTGGTGATTCTATCCCCCACATAAACAAGCAGTGACGBCATAGTGAAATAGGGCAATTATTGTAAGGGTTGTAATGACACCTAAAACAGGAGATGCAACAATACAGCTACAGTAGGAAATCTAGGGGTTGCAGGGGCATAGCCAGAKGGGCCAAGGGGACCCTGCTATTGACTCCTATTTATGATGCCGAATGTTCCATTCATTTTCATTTCTTGCCTTGTTGAAGCTTSATGCATTGGATGCAGCAGTGAAGTTGTTGCTGAAATACCTTCCTGGGGTAAAGATATACCCTGCACTTGGCAACCACGAGGGTTCTCCTGTTAACAGGTATTTTAAGAAATTTTGGAAGTAGCATGGATTAGCTAGGGAATTGAGAGTTATGCAGCTGTTGTACACACTTGTACCTCACCTTTAGCTGTGGTCTGATTTAATTCCTGAATTGAATATCATCTGCAAGTAGAATATATTGAATTGCTCCACGATTCAGAGGCTTTCTCTATAGCTCGGTTCTTAAGTTGTCTTCTCTCCACAAAACTCAACAAATTAGTTCCCAATTCAATTTGTAAGTCACTATGCCCGACTTAGGTCAGCCCAGAAATTGTTTAGGTTTCAGTAAAATTGCTGTTTGGTTTTGATAAGCATGATTGTTTACTGAGTTAATGCTTTTGTTTTTCAATATCTAGCTTTCCGCCACCAGAAATAACTGGGCCAGACTCAAATGACTGGCTTCGAGRCTCTCTCGCAACTCACTGGGGTTTCTGGTTGCCTGACTACACAATGTCCACCATCAAGAAGTAAGTACAAATACTCCTTAG